AGACGCTCCGCCTCCTTCTTCCGCCTCCCTCCCCTGCCTTCTTTCCACTCCTGTCCTCTCTCGGTTCTGCTTCTTTCCTCTCGACTTCAGGAGGCCGGTAATCCCTCCGCTCAGCCGCTGCGCGCCTTTGTACTCCCGCCCCCCATATCTCCGCCTCTTGACTCCCCACTGGCTCTTTTCCTCATTTGCTGGCCCTGGGACAGTGATAAGCCTTATCTGGTGCTCTTCCATCTTTCCTCAGCTGTGGAGTAAACCTGGCCTTCCTTTCCTAGCCCTGCCAGCCTGGGTCCCTGGCTCCGCGGGCATCCTCTGGCCAATGCAGTGACTTTCAGAGGCTGGCACAACTCAGACCCCAGTCAGCTGTCTCCTGACCCTTATTGTGGACTCCATTCCTCTATAACCCGCTCTCCACACAGCAGCAGGATCTGGCTCTTTCTTGCTTAGAACTCTTTGGATTTCTAAGAATGAAAGCCAAAGGGCTTTCCTGAAATCCGAATGCCTGCCTGGACAGCCTGGCATCTATAGCCAATCAACTTCGCTTTCTACTGCTTTCTCCCCCTTTCATTACACTTGCAAATACCCGGCTTTTCATTTGTTACCAGTGTCACATTCATTCTTGTTTCAGGGTATTTGCCCTGGTTAATCCCTTTGCCTGACATACCCTTCCCCTGCCCCAGTCCCTTCTCAGCTCAAATGTCACTTTTTCAGAGAACTTTCCTTCATCTTTTATAAAGTACATCCCTACAAGTCTCTGCCTTACAAAGTACCTTCATAGCACTTACCTCTGATATCAGTCAGTTTAGTTTTTGAGAATAGTGTGGTTTAGACCAGGGGTTGACAAATCTTTTCTGTAAAATATTTTAGGCTTTCTGTGTCATACAGTGTCTGTAGCAACTATAGTACTCAATCCTGCCATTGGAGCAGGTAAGTAGCTATACCTAAATGAATTAGTGTGGCTAGATTCCAATAAAACCTTATCTATGGACACTGGAATTTGAATTTCATGTAATTTTCACATATCATGAAGTATTCAATTTTTTTTCTACCATTAAAAAAAGTAAGACCCCTTCTTAGCAATCAGGCAATACAAAAACTGGCCACAGGAGGGCTGTAATTCACTTATCCCTGGTTTAGAGATAGACAACCGAACCACAGTGCCTGGGTTTAGAATCCTGATTCTCATATTCACTAGCAATGAACAAGCTACTTAGCCTGTGCCAGTTTTCCCAACTGTACAATGGAAACACTACCAAACCTACTTCATAGTGTTGTTGCTGTGAGGGCTAAATGTGTTAATTTAAATAAAGAACTTATAGAACTTAGAATGGTGCTTGGCAGGGTAAGCACAATACAAGTGTTTGCTATTGTTATTTGTGAGTTTATCATTTGCCTCCCCCAGTAACCAACCCATAAGCCTCCAAGCAGCAAAACCCTTGTCTTTCTTATTCACAACATGGAACTATGCTTGGTTCAACAAACATCTTTTAAATAAATGAGCACACATGGACGGACCCCTACAGGGAAGACAGGTAGAAAGGGCGCCTGGACAGGCAGGCCCCTGAGGAAAGTGAAGGTGGGATTCAGGGGAAGAAGCAGGAAAAATAAATCAACCAGGCTGGAGATGGAGCACCTGTTCAGTAGGAATGCTGCCCATACCTAAGGGCACTGTTACCTGCCCTAGCAGTGCCATTCCTTGACATCAGAGCCTCAGATAGCTCAAAGTCTGCAAGGACTAGGAGAATGAAAGGACAGCAGGAGAAATGGCCATCAAGCATAAAGAAGGACATTCAAGGTTGATATTAGCAAGGAATGGCTGAGGAACCTCAGTGACCACCAGCCTCGCTTTTATTTATTTTAATTTTTTATTCATTTATTTTATTTTCCAGCCTCTTTTTATCCTTTCCACCCTTTCCAGGTCCCCCCAACCAAATGATAAGGGGGCCAGAGCCGCCCCTGATGTGCCTTTATTTCTTTCAGTTATGCTTGCGGCTGGAGTGGCGCCGAGGGAAGAGCCCATGGCCCGGGCTCCCTGGAGACCAGGGCTGATGATACCAGCTGCCGTAGGTGAGGTACCAGGCAAAGGTGCCTATTGCTGCGCCCACCACCTTGTGAGTATACTGGTGGAAATAGATGACGGTACAGAGCAGCAAGAAGTTCCAGAGGCCCAGTAACAGCACGTTGAGTAGGAAGACGAGGCGCAGAGGTGCACCAGCGGGCAGCCCATGGGCCAGGTACTTGGCAAACACTGCTGCTTCCTCGGCCATGAGCAGACAGCAGAAGGTGAGCAGGAAGGTATGGGAGGAGACCGTGTAGCCCCGCCACTGGTGGCCAGCTGCAAGGCAGCTGCGGCGGTCAGGCAGCTCGTGGAGCAGCAGGCCTTGGGGTAGAGGCTCGAAGCAGGAGCCGGTCAGGTCCTCGATGAGCAGGAAGGCCCTGCCAGCCCCCCGCCACACAGCTGCCCCCACCACCAGCCGGCTCAAGTGCCGGGCAGTCACTGCGACTCGCCGTGTAGCCAGGAACACCACCAGCAACACGAAGCCCCCCAGGAAGGTGCATGTCCAGCCCCATGCGGAATTCACAAACTTTCTGTGGGCAGAAAAGAGGGGAGGCTACTGAGACCCCTCAGCCCCATCTCCCCACTTGGGTCTATGTTCCCATCGCCGGGGACAGATCCCCAGTCCTACATTTCATCACTGGCTATTTCCTGTGTCTTATATCTCCCACCCCCATCCACTCATACACCCATTCAACCTTCTGGGTCCATATTTCCTCTTCAGCCCTGCTCCCTACTTCCCCTGTACCCCACAACACTGTCCCCCTCCCCTTCCTCTGACCTTCTCCTCAACCTCCTAGCCTATTTTTAGTGTTTGGACTGGCAAGAGGACAGAAGCCTGGAGGGAGCTAGGATCCCAGAGTGCAGGGAGCCGGCGCCCCTGGCCTCAAGTGCACTCACATGTTGAAGAAGTTTCCGTGGCTGGCGAAGATAGTCCGAGGGTTGACATGGAATTGCAGAAGGGGCCCAAAGATGACCACTGCTGCCAACCAGGCATGGTACAGGCGCCGTAAGCAGGGGCTTCCCAGGAGGCGGGCAGCCTGTTCACTTCCAAAGTACAGCAAGGCAGAGGCTACCCAGAGCAGCACCTTGACCAGGCAGCCCAGCAGTGCCCGGATTCTGGCCCTGGCCCCCAGCCCTACCCCCACTACCGGCCCCCGCTCCATGTTCCCTCCCCTCCCCACTAACTGCTTGCTCTGCTGGGCAGCTGAGGAGGGGCTGATGGGCCCCCCCCACTCCCCGGACAAGGACAGGCAGTGACAGGTGTGGCAGACACAGAGCAGAGCCCTGTTGGCAGCTGGCAGGCGGGGGAGAGGGGCGGGGGGCAGTAAGGGGCCAGGGCAGAGGGCTGCCACGTCAGCAGGGTCCCAGCCTCGGTTGTGTGTCTGGATGGCAGCTTGTGTCCTTTCCTATTAGTGCTGTCTCCTCTTGGCCCTCTAGGTCTGTGTCCCCAGCTCTAACCATGTTCTAGTTCATGTCTCAGGGCCAGGCCTGCTGTTCAGGGTTGTCTTTGACCACAGCCTACTTGGGTCTGCCTGTTTTTGTTTGGTCAGCCAGCCATCCCCACTCCACCCCAACTTTATTATGTGTTTGATCCACAGGGAAACCAGGGGTCAGAAAGATAAAACTAACCAAACCTTGGAATTTATTAAAAAATGTCTCTCTCTCATCATCAGTGTGGCCCAGCTCCTCTCCTCAGGTTTGAGCACAAGAGCCCACCACTAAGTATGCAGCAAGAAGGCTGTGCACTGCAGTGTTCAATAAAGCCTATCCGCTTTAGGATACTGTGACACCAGGGGCTTGGCTCAGCCCTAGCTCATCTGGTCTGAGGGGCTAGTTTGGTCCCAGGGCTGCTGTGTAAACCATGGTGGTTGTACAATGCACAAGACGTCAGATGTAAAGGGGACCCTTCCTTGGTATGTTTATTATGATGGCCAACAGATTAAATTCAAGTGTCCTGAAAAAGGCATACTATATGAGATGGTGGTGGTGCCGACTGGACTCTCAAAGACCCAAAGGTTAGGTTTACTCCCAGGTGATGGGGAAGGGGTAGGGAGGTGGAGACCTAGAAGGAAAATCCCCAACCATTGAAATCTTAGGTTGTGTCCTCTAACCAATTATCCTGGGTCTCAGCCACACATGAAACTTGGCCTCCCACCCTGGCCAGGTGGGTTAGTTGGAGTGCCATCCTGTACACCAAAAAGGTTGCGGGTTCGATTCCCAGTCAGGGCACATACCTAGGCTGCGGGCTCGATCCCTGGTCAGGGTGTGTATGGGAGGAAACTGATCGATGTTTCTCTCTCTTCCTCCACCTCTTCCTCTCTCTTTAAAAATCAATAAAAACATATCCTCGGGTAAGGATTAAAAAAAAAGAAAAAAAGACTTGGCCTCCCAACCTGACCACTGGGGCTGGAGCCATAGAACAAGGAGCAACCTACCTAAGTGAAATCCCTATAATTCAGTAACTGTTTTGAGATCCCTTTTTATCTTCCTTCCTCATTCCTCAAAGCTGGTGGTGGGATTTCAAAGCACAGTGGAGACTCACAAAGTAGTGACAGGAATGAGGAAGCAAGGACACCTGGGTTCTGGGTCCAACTGTGTGACTTTGGGAAAACATCTAACCCTCCTTGGTCCTCAGCACCCTCATCTGCAAACTGATCCAGATGGATTAGTCAAGTTGGCTCCTTCCAGATCCTAAAGCCCATATTTTGGCATAGTTTCTGCTCATGGACCCTATACATGAAGACCTATAGACCCACTCACACATTTGGGGGTTTTTTTGGTGCCCTGGCCAGGAATCAAACCACGATCTCCTGGATCATAGGTCGATGCTCAACTACTGAGACACACCAGCCAGGCCACTCACATATTTTAAAAAATTGATTTGAGAGAGAGAAACATTGATGTAAGAGAGATACACCGATCCCTCCCATACGTGCCCTGACTGGGATTGAACCCACAACCTAGGTATGCGCCCTGACCTGGAAATGAACCCTCCATCTTCTGGTGTACCAGAGGATGCTCCAACCAACTGAGCCATACCAGCCAGGGCCTACTTACATATTCTTAAGTTGACAAAAAGTTTTACATTGTAATTTTAAATAGTTATAAAGGACATAACTTCCAGGGTATTGTATATACTGACATTTCAAAAATAAAGCTATATCAATCTTTTAAGTATATTTAACAGAATCTAAATACTACAGTGATTATATGCCTCACCATTATCCATTTAAAAAACAGGGGACGAGATCTTAATAGTCAGAAATTATATTGCCATTCTACTTCCCCCAAAGAACTTATCCTTTATTCTTGAAAGGCTTTTATTGATTGTACTTCGTTGCAAAAAAAGTATATAATTTGAAATTTACATTTTAAACATTTCCTGCCCTAGCCAGTTTGGCTCAGTGGTTAGTGCGTCAGCCTGCAGACTGAAGGGTCCTGGATTCGATTCCAACCAACAGCACATACATTAGTTGCAGGTTCAATCATCAGACCTGGTTGGGGCGCATGTGGGAGGCAACCAATCAATGTGTCTCTCTCACATCAATGTTTCTCTCTCTCTCTCTCTCCCCCTCCCTCCCTC